TTTTTGATACTGTGAAAATTTAACTAAGAAAACAACTTCAAACAAACTACTGAAGTTGTGACGATCCGTCCAGTCATCTCATGAGTTACCGCTTTGTTTCCTCCATTTCTGCTTCTTATTACTTTGTTTGTCGGTATTATGCATTATAGGGTTGGTTGGCTCGGGTTCGAAAAGGTTTTGGTAAGGTTTGAGAAGTCTCTTTGAGTAAGCTTAAGTTGGAAAATTCAATCGGATGTTAACTTATGTGTTAAAGGCTCGGATGTGAATTCCGATAGCGTCGAGAGGTGATTTGGGACTTAGGAGCATGATCGGAACGTGCTTTGAAGGTCCGGAGTAGATTTAAGCTTGAATTGGCAAAATAGAAATTTTGGTGTTTTTCGGTTGATAGATGAGATTTTGATATAGGGGTCGGAATGGAATTTCGGGAGTTGCATAAGGTCCGTTGTGTCATTTGGGATATGATTGGGGTCTAAAAGAAAGACTTTCTAAAGAAGCAAACAATGAAAAATATTTTTGGATTTTTTTGAAAATTGTGGGCCGGAACCAATGAGCTTTGCCTACGTATCTCACATCCGGTGAGAATCAGACCCGCGTAGTTCGGCCAGTTTTTACATAATAAAAATAAAAAACATGAAACTTTTTGAAACCATTTTCCTTTCCTTTTTTCAAAATTTTGGCAGAGTCAGTATATTCTGGACACCAGGTTTTTCAAAGGCGGGTAATTATCTCTCTCATACCTCAATTTTATTTTTTTCAATTTCCTCCCTATTCTAGCAACCGGTCAACATGCAAACCAAAGCAAATAATTGTACAAGTAGCACGTAAAAAATGCACCATGATGGTCTTTTTATTCTGGGGTCCACCTATCCTAGACGGACCCAACCCCTGTGTTGAGTCTCCAAAGTCAAATGCACATGATGCAAACAAACGTTCCTACTTGGGATCCGCCATGAAGCTGAGTTATTCTAAGTTTAAAACCTGCGTATATTGTTCTAGACTTGGTGTATCCGAGCGGACAGCTCGAGCCGAGTGGGGCTACGTACGGGGAACAATAAGGTCATCCAGCTTTACAACTTGTCTGAGCCTCTTTCTAATTTAAGGTATGACACTAACAGAAGAGGAGTCATGCCAGAGTGCACATCCCCGAAGATGAGAAGAGAAAGATTTCGTAACAGTTTATATGCAGTTCAAATAATATCAAAGCGGTAAAAAAGAGACATTTAGCACATTAGGCTCAAACATGTAATAACAATCAGATAATAAATAAAAGCCAATTTATAAAAGTTATTCTAAGCTCGAATTCTTTAACCCTGAACCGAGGTTCAGGGTTTGGTATCCCAGCAGAGTCGCCAGAGCTGTCACACCTCATTTTTCTACCCGAAAAGGATATAGGGGAGTTTTTCTAATTAAAGTGACATTATTCGAAATGGAATTATTTTATTTATTTCAGAGTCGTCACTTGGGATATTTATTAGGATGTCCCAAGTCATTGGTTTATTTTAAATCCAAATCGAGGAAATTGACTTTATTTTTAAAAGTCTGCGAAACCAGAAATTCTAAGTAATGAATTCTGTTAACCCACGAGAATGTGTTAGGCATTCCTGGGTTCTGTGGTTCTAGCATGATGGCTTAAACTATTAATAATGGCCTATTATCTTATTTAATACATGTTTTAACCTATTGTGAATTTATATCTTTTATAACCCGCTTTTAATTATTTTTATGAAATTATTCTGGAACAATTAACGATTGTCGTACACTTGTTTGTTTGATACACATTGCAAATCGTGTCACGAGACCCGTACCCACGATCCACAATATTTTTAATTTATTAAAGTTATTAGAAGTTGTGGTCGGGTCACATAAATGTACCCCCGGATTTGGGAATTAGGTATCACAGCAGCGTCACGGGAACCGTACCTGTAGCGATGACGATTTTATTATAAACGTGTCTAAAGCAAATTACGAATTTTCAAAATTGTGTTTTTCTATACTATGTTAATATTAATGTGAGGAACATAGGTTATAGATTTTGTATGTGTATGACACACCTCAATTTATTTTAAATGAATAGATTTGTATTTCACTAAGGCAAAATAAAGATGCTCCTACTTATTAAATCTAACTTAAAATTAAGTATTACAACTACGCCACGGGAACCGTATCCATAATTATGATGATTTAATTACATGCCTAAAGCAAACTACGATGTTCATAATTAACTAAAATTCTAAGGTTTGAGATTGCTTGTGAAGGCCACAGATTATGGAAATATGGAGTCATAATTGCAACAAGTGGTCATTGTGGCAGTGAATTAGCCTGAAACTATCATGTGTGTGCTCACATTACTAGGAACCGTAGTAACATTTTAGACCATAATAATCTTAATTCAGCCACGCCATAGATTTTTTATTATCTAGCCATTGCATAAGCATGAGCAATCTTGAGGGAGTATTCTGATTTGCGCTAAACAGCTCTTAATTATAGAACTCCACCAAACTTCATGATTAAAACAAGCATAGTGACTAAAAAACAACATTAGTTCATCTACTGTCCACCCAATCCAAAAGAGAAGTCCATCTTTACTTTGAATTTGACGAAAATACCGAGTAATTCATAAACAGTAATATCATTTGCATGGGTATCTACAAATACTCACTTTTACCAATGAATCTATTTTTTACAAAAATAATAATACAACAACAACAGCATACCCAGTAAAATCTCACTAGCGAAGTTTGGGGAGGGTAGGATATACGCAGACCTTACCCCTACCCCGGAAGGGTAGAAAGGCTGTTTCCGGGAGACCCTCGGCTCAACAGAAGAGATAATAAATTTAGAAAAGAAACGAAAGAAGAGATATGTAACAACAAAAGAAGCAAGAGAAGTGATAATAATATCTTAAAAAAGACCAAATAAGTGAAAGGGAGTGCAATAATATAATCCTATGCAAAATAAAAAAATAGTGTGAACATAACGTATACCGCTACCAGATATAGGCAAAACTCTATCAGACTACCCGGTACAAAGAGGGAAAAACTATGAACTACCCCTAGCCGACAACCCTAATGCTCGATCTCCACGCTTTCCTATTAAGAGCCATGTCCTCGGAATTCTCGAGTCGCGACATGTCTTGCCTGATCACCTCGCCCCAATTCTTCTTAGGCCACCCTCTACCTCTTCTCATACCTGCCAAAGCCAACCACTCGTACCTCCTAACCGGGGAATCTATGGTTCTCCTCCGCACGTGTCCAAACCACCAAATCCTCACTTCCCGCATCTTGTCGTCCACGGGAGCAATGCCCACCTTCTCCCTAATAACTTCATTCCTTATCTTATCCAGTTTAGTATGCCTGAACATCCATCTCAATATCCTCATCTCAGCTACTTTCATCTTCTGGATATCTGAATTCTTAACTGGCCAACACTCAACCCCATATAACATAGCCGACCTAACCACCGCTCTATAAAACTTACCTTTGAGTTTCAATGGTACTCTCTTGTCACACAGGACTCCAGATGCTAACCGTCATTTCATCCACTCCACCCCAATACGGTGTGTGACATCCCTTACGATCTCCTCATCCCCATGTATAATAGACCCTAGGTAATTGAAACTTTCTCTCTTGGGGATGACTTGTGAGTCGAGCCTCACCACCCCATCCGCTTCCCCCGACATGCCACTGAACTTACACTCCAGATATCCCGTCTTGGTCCTACTCAACTTGAAACCTTTGGACTCCAGAGCCTGCCTCCACACCTCCAATCTCTCACTAACACCGCTACGCGACTCATCGATCAAAACTACATCATCAGCGAACAACATACACCATGGAACCTCCCCTTGAATATGGTGTGTCAAGGCATCCATCATCAGAGCGAATAAGAAAGGGCTAAGTGCAGATCCTTGGTGTAACCCCATAATCACTGGAAAAAGCTTGGTTTCACCTCCCGCAGTCCTGACCCGAGTCTTAGCTCCCTCATACATATCCTTTATCGATTCAATGTGTGCTACCGACACCCCTTTCACTTCCAGGCATCGTCAAAGAACGTCTATAAGGACCCTGTCATACGCCTTTTTAGGTCAATAAACACCATGTGCAAATCCCTCTTCCTCTCCCTATGTTGTTCCACCAACCTCCTTATCAGATGGATAGCTTCTGTAGTAGAACGTCCCGACATTAATCCGAATTGATTTTCAGAAATAGATACTGCCCTCCTCACCCTCCCTTCCACCACCCTCTCCCAAACTCTCATGGTATGACTTAACAACTTGATGCCCCTATAATTGTTATAATTCTGGATATCACCTTTGTTCTTAAACAGCGGAATCATCAAAATACATCTCCACTTAGCTGACATCCTCTTCGTCTTGAAAATAACATTAAACAACCTAGTCATCCATTCTAATCCCGCTATACCCACAACCTCCAAAATTCTACTGGAATCTCGTTTGGTCCTATCGATTTTCCCCGACTCATCTTACCCACACCTTTCACTACCTCCTCGACCTTGATATGCCTACAGTACCCAAAGTCATGGTGACTCTCAGAGTGTCCCAACTCCCCTAGCACGATGCTACCACTCCCCTTCTTCATTCAAAAGTTTATGAAAGTACGTCTGCCATCTATGCTTAATCTAGGGGTCTTCCGTCAATTCTCTATCTTCCTCGTCTTTGATGCACCTCACTAGATCCAGGTCACGAGCCTTCCTCTCTCTTGCTTTAGCCAGCCGAAATAGCTTCTTGTCCCTACCTTTGCCCCCAGCTCCCCATACAAATGATCAAACGCAACAGTCTTAGCCTCTGTGACCACTAAATTTACCTTCTTCCTAGCTTCCTTATACCTCATTCTATTTGTTCTCCTATGCTCCTCATCGGTACTCTCCATTAACTCATGGTACGCCATTTTCTTTGCTTCCACTTTAACTTGGACCACATCATTCCACCACCATTCGCCTCGGTGCCCGCCATAGTAGCCCTTCGATACCCTTAACACCTCTCATGATGCCTCCCTAATACAGTTCGTCGTCGCCATCCACATAGCGCTAGCATCCCTAATACTCTTCCAGGCACCCATAGCCAATAGCCGACCCTCCAACTCATGCGCAGTATCCTTAGGCAAATCACCCCACCTGATCATCGGTTGACCCTGTACAAACCTCTTCTTCTTCTTTATCATGACACCAACATCCATCACCAGGAGCCTATTTTGAGTCGCGAGGGTCTCACTCAAGATCACCTTACAATCCTCGCATACCTCCCTATCACACATCCTGAGGGGGATATAATCAATCTGGGACTTAGCCACCATACTCTTGAAGGTAACCAAATGCTCCTCCCTTTTCGAGAAACTAGAGTTCACAATCACCAACTCAAAAGCCCTAGCGAAATCCAATAGGGAAGTGCCACCTACGTTCCTGTCCCAAAGCCGAAGCCACCGTGCACCTCGCCATATCCCCCAGCCTATGACCTAATATGACCATTGAAATCTCCTCCTATAAATAACTTCTCTGTTGATGGAATACCCCACACCACCTCATCCAACCCCTCTCAGAAGTGCCTCTCAACCTCCTCGCCCAAGCCCGCTTGTGGTGCGTACGCACTAACGACATTCATAGTGCTCCCTCCAACTACTAACTTAATCGCCATCAATCTGTCATTCACCCGCCTAACTTCAACCACTGACTCCCTGAGCTCCCTGTCCACCAAAATAGCCACTCCGTTCCTGCCCTTCACGCGTCCAAAGTACCACAATTTAAACCTGTCTGCATTTTTCGACTTCGATCCTGCCCACCTGGTCTCCTGAACAGAAGCTATATTGACCTTCCTCTTCTGGAGTATCTTCGCTTGCTCTATATACTTACTTGTTAACATCCCTATATTCCACGATCTAATCCTCAACCTGCAGGCTCCTGTGTCACCTTTACCCTTATGGGCCCCGTCCCACCCCAAGACCCGTGCCCTACCCCCTACCC